ATGTAAGTCATGATCATTTGCGTATTGTAACACTATGAAATAATCTTTCGTTTGTGGATCTTGCGTTAGACCATACATCCTTGAAAATTTCGAGGATTTTTTTGAAGCAAGATATTGTGTCTTCATCTGAGTTTTAATTTCAAGAGAAAAAAAAAATTGAAGCGAATTTGAAACATGAATTGATAAATTCTTTTAATAAGGGGATAGTTACCTTATTGATGAAATTTAAACTTAGATCCTGTGAATCCACAAGACGTTTTAGTGCAACTGTCTTTTGAATGAATTTATTTTGTAATGGAGAAACAGTTACGGGAATTTGATTAATTCTAATTAAAGAATTCGTTGTTGTCGATGGATTTAACTTCGATGATCTCTAAAAATTGAATTCAATAAAAACAAAAAGTCGAAAATTGTTAATTTAATAATTATAAATATGTTTAACCAATTTAAATATTGATGATTTCTTACAGTTTTATTTTTCTTTAAACTTGGTCGTTTCTTTAATAGGTTCTTGATTCTTGTAATACTACTAATACTACTCTTTCTCTTAACCTACAAAAAAAAAGTTGTATTTGTTAATCTTACAATCCAGCAGTAAATAATAGATTTATTCGTAAAGACTTACTTGAACTTCCGAATGTTCCTTAGACTGACCTAATGATCTACACTTTAACACTTTTCTATTCTCATAAATTCGTCGCATTCTTGAGGCAAACTCTTTCAAAATTTCATCCCATTTTTCTAAGGATATATCTTTAATACTTTCTTCACTATGGCATTGTAAATAATCCAATATAATCATACATTCCATATTAGTTACCCATTGTTTTAATGTCCCATTCAATCGATCTTGTGTATAATTTCCAGAATATACCTCACTGAATCCGCCTTTACCAATTTGATTCAATTCGGTAAATGATGAAAATGGTATCCATCTTAAAAATTCTGTAGAATTTTTCGCTTCTCGTTGAGTTTCTCGAATGAATCTATCAAGATCTACATTTCCACTTGTCCATGTATGAAATTTTGATTCAAATACGTGTGACTCACATTCATTACACCATTTATCTTGTGGTGACGTATATGGCTTTTTACATAGGAAACAAGTGTCGGGAAATACTAGTATTTGTTGTTTTAGAAATGCAAAAGAGTTTTCGGATTCGAACGTTTTTCGTACACCGTCTAAAAACCAATTTATAAAATTTAATACGGAATCTTCTGTTTCTAAACACTGGATCAGAGTATTGTAAAGCTTTTCCGACGCTGTCCACATTTCATCCGATGTAACTATCGCTAATTAGATAAAGACAGATGATTAGATGTAAATTGGAACTTATAGTTGAATTGTATGAATCGATTACTTACATCTTGTACTTGAATTACTTGTATAGCTTACATTACTTGCGCTGCTAATATTAGTTGTGCTATCAGCTCTTTCGAATTCTTGTCCATATTTTTTCCTAAATACCATTGCTACTACAGCAACGTTTACATTAAATAATACATGATCGGGAAAATCCATCTTTAATATGTATTTGTTTTCAGTGTGCGAGAGATATTTAATTTAAATGGGATTTTTTTTTTTTTAATAAAAAATAAAAAACTTCGGATTATCTAATTTATACAAAATGGAATATATTTACTATATATGTACTAAAAAAACTAAAACTATTTATCAAAAATTCTTTTTAATTTTTTTTTTTTTTTTTTATACTCACTCTATTTATTCTAAGGATATATATATATTATTTCTTTTATTTACTTTCGGTTCAAGATGAATCCCGATAGAAAAAAATGTGGTAAAAACAAAAAAAAAAAAAATAAAAGGTTTTTTTTTTTTTTTTTTTTTTTTTTTGAAATTATGAAATTGGTTCGAGTTTATATACGTTGGATGTATTATGAAAATCCGCGAGATCAGTTGAAACGAAATTTGTTGAGGTGTGTAACAAATATATAGACCAAATATATAATGGACTATCAACTTTGGGTCGCTTATAATGAAAAGCAATTGTACACCATACACAATTACGGTAACAATAAATTATCTTAAGGGTAAAGAAGATTGGAGGATTGGCCAAATTTATTTACAAAACGCCAATAATAATGCTTAATTAATATGATACATTACACAAGTAAAATTTTAACTAAATAACGAAAGTTTCTTCGGTCTTTATGATTTTTTTTTTTATGAAAATGATAAAGAAAAAGAAAACAAATGTTTTATTACCAACAACGTTTTAAGCATCACTCCACATAAATTTAAGATGAGCACAGCATATCATCACGTCTATCCTCTTGATTAAGGGAATCATCATTCAAATAAGATCATTGTTCGAACAAATCGGCATTTAACAGTCATTACTCATTTCATTAACTTATATAGGTTCGAACCTTTTTTATCTAAATCTCGAATGTGCACATGATTTTACTTACGCATACTTTCACATTTTCTCGCAATTTCACATGTATAACAAAAAAATTCTTTCTTCATAATTTAATTAATGGTTTTTTCCAAATTGTCATATTCGATTTGTTAAAGTTACGATATTTGGTATGCCGCAGTCAAACATTATCATATGAAAGGCTTATTTAATTAATGGATAAAATCAGGTTATTTTTTTTAATACACACGTGTGACCCCTAACGTTTTACTGGGACGAAAAGTTTGGAAATTTTACTTAAACAATAAACAATGCTGCAAACTTACTTTACTTTTATAAAATCGATTGAAAAAACTTCATCAATCTGAAATAATTTAATAATATTTGCATAACACTAAAGAATACATTATGCATTCAATGCACGCGTGTCTGAATTTGTTTTTGACCAAATCTTGTCAAAAACTTAAACAAAAATTAAAAAAAATAGATAGATTATTATTTTAATATCAAAGTTTATATAGCAGTTATTGAAAATTATTTCATTTAATAAATTTAAAAACGAAATGAAAAGTTTGCAAAATAAATAATATTATATATCTTTTATTTATATTTATATCAATTTTAATTAAAAGATTAATATTTTTATACTAAACAGATTTAGAATAATATATCATATATATACTAAATAGTAAAAAAATATTATTTTTGCATTTGTATACATACCACTTAGATTAGGTTATAATATCACTCAATAATCCAATTATCACTATAACTTAGGTAGATTATAAAATCATAGATTATGCTAGAACTTAGTAAATTATAAAGTCATAAACTATTATGCTATAACCTAAGTAAATTATGAAATTGCAAAATATCACTTTATTATCATTTTATGATCTAATATCAAAACCTACTGCTTCTCTTTATATACCAGTATTATATTTTTATTAATGTTTCTTTATACTCTGATTATTTCTTTAGGTCTTTCTACTATTCATATTTTATATTAATATGATTTTATTACTACTTTATAATCTAATTACCACTTATTATTTAATTTTACCTATTTCTGTTTTCTTTCTGTTCATACTTTATTTATGAGTCAGATTTTATTTTAAGAGCGTTAACCTCTATACCCATTTGGATACTAGGTTTTATTTTACCTTTTGCATCTTAAATTTTAAGTATTTTTTGTCTTACAATATTAAATGTTTATCTTGTTTGAATTTAATTTTATAATTCTTTTATTAACAATACTTTGTAATCTTTTAAATATTATATTAATTATCAAGATAATATAATATATTAAAAAAGAAATATATTTTTCTACTTTTATTATCTATTTATTATTAAGTTATTTAAGTTTCATAAAATGCAAAATTATAATTTCTTATTTTCTTTCTTTATATAATTTTAATTTTATATTTTATCAAAATTTTATTACATTTTACATTCTTTGTTTTTTCTTATAAAAATAATTTTCCTTTTTTTACCTTGTAGATTTTTGATTAAAAAGCAGTAGTATTCGATAAAGTCAAGATATATTTAATACAGAAAATTTTGAGTCTAAAATACTGATTATTATCCTAGAATAATGATCTTTAGCTCAGAAGATTTTTTGCTAATCACAGATTGTATGACAAAAAATAAGTAAATTATCAGTCAAATCTTGTATAATATATTAATTTTTACATCCCAATAAAAAATTTGATATAAAAATTCCATAAAAATATAAAGTTTTATAACGTATAATTTTTATGGAATTTCAGTATAATGTATACATTTTTTCCTTAAGTAAAAACCTTAAACTTAATACGGAAAAGTGAGAAAAAATGTATACAAAAATCACGGACAAAACGTATATCTTATAATGCTTTAACGGATGCAAAAATCACAGACAAAACGTATATCTTATAATGCTTTAACAGGATCCCGAAAACTTATATATGAACTCCCAGGTAAGCTTAAGAGTATTTTTCATATAAAAATTTCCAAAATCTTACAGGATAGTTAAGGGTAAAATTTATATCACAAAAAAATTATGTCTGGTTTTCTTAAGGGGTAATACTTTTTAGGGTTTAAGAAATACATATGGGTAAATTATAATTACATGTGATCATGTTTCAGATATAAATGGGTAATATATCTATATCAGATAATGGTAATCATTGATCATATTTTGAAATTTAATAATCTTATAAAGTGATACAAAAAAATCTCTCTTTTTTTACAGTGCGTGACACTTAAAGACTTCAATAAATTTGATGATTTTTAAAAAGTTATAAAAAATGATACAAAAATAATAATAAAAAAAA